AAAATAAAATAAAATGCTATGCAACTTACTACCAATAACAGCATTTTCTTATCTCAAAAACTTTATGCTCACAAATGACAGCTTGAGTCACCTTATGGTTCAGCTGCTGTTAGCTGTAACCCAGGCATGAACAATGGTGTGCCCTCCACCCTCATTTTTGGATTAGTGTTTCCCTTCAATAAATACTCCTGTAACCAAAGTGTTTACATTAAAGAAACATTTTGGAAGTTGAGGAGAAACTTCAGCTGCTGCAGCATTTCTCTGTGCACTCCATAGTCACACAACCATTGAAGCTATTGTTGAGGTTTTTTTCTTCTTTTACAAAAAAAACAAAAACATTTATGTAAAGGGTGTACAGCCTAAGACTGTGACAGATAAGTATATAATTATCACACATCACCTTGTTGTACTGCCTTCCTGTTTCAGAGTGGAACTGAAAATTATGTTTTTGTTTGAAAAATAGTTTTAAAATTGTTTTGAAAACTAATGGAAAGGCCAAATGATACCGATTTCAACCTGAAGATACTTTCACAAAGAAAAAGCTGAAATCAGAAAGTTTTATTTGCCACAAATGAATTAAAGTTTTGGCGCTCGTTCCCCGGCAGAAGACGTGGGCGCTGTGAATTGCAATAAGCTTTGGATGAGCAGTTTAGGATGAGGATTAGAGACGTCCTCCCCCTGGGGCCTGGACACTGGCGGCAGAGGGCGGAGAGGATGGAAGCCTGGAGTAGCCGGTAGAAAAGTGGTGGAGGTGGGCTGAAGCTCTGCTGGTGAGCAGATGGAGCCATGGATGGAGGGCCTTATGAATGGAGGCGTGCTTGATGACTGGCTTTGATGAGGCGTGGTCCGATGCTGACGGGTTGCAGTAGAAGCGCATGATGCAGCGACTGGATGACGGAGGTGAGGCTGAAGAGAATCTTCCAGTTTGAATTTATGCCTAGGCTTAATTTGTTTCACGAATTCTGAAATGCATGTGCCTTTTAAAAAAGTGTAGATACAAACTTAAAAGAAATTTGAGGGGGAAAAAGGCCTTCAAGGAGGTCGTATCTACTCTCTACTGATCATATTTGTCATAGTTTAGATTGCTTTAACTAAATGCTTTAACCTTGTCTTTTGTTTAAAAATATTTTTTCATGTTTCTCAATACTCAGTACTCAATCAACAGAGTTTCAGCAATTTATGTACTTTACATTTTGAATACATCAAAACCCTGACAAGGTATAGATCATAATTGCCATTTTATAGTTATGTGATGTCGGTTTTAAAATATGAAAAATGGAAGAACAAATCAAAGACATATTTTTATCTCTTGTTTTTTTCTCCTTTTCCATTGTTAAACTTAAAGATCCTGCATCACCTTTAGTGTGTGTGTGTGTGTGTGTGTGTGTGTGCAAGCGACTGCGTGGATCTGTGTGTGTTCTAGCTGTTAGACCACACGACAAAGGTTGTGTGTAATCCCTATTGTTGGTGAAATGCCACTGCTGTTATTAGGAAAGATTTATGTGCTGTGCCCAGGGATGAAGTCAGAATGCCAGCTTGTGTGCGTTATTAATGCATTCCACCAAGGGATAAGAGCCAGAATACCATAACACATTCACAGTTCTGAGTCTCTGTCAGATGACTGTCAAGAACTACATGCTTATGAGTGATTTATAGAACACACCAAATAGTCTCTTCATCCCTTTGTCAGTTCACAAGGCCAAATTAGTAAAAAGCAAAGAAAACATGTCAGTCCATTGTGTTCGGCAAGACATTATATTAAAAAAATATACATATTTTAAGAAAACAAGCTGATGGAACATTCTTTACCCAAGATCTAATCACATGTCACAAAAAAAAAAATTATATCAATTCAGATTCACTTCTTGTGATTGGTTGCATTAAGGTTTAACAAAACCAAAGTGCCTCTTGGAGGACAAATTTCTATTAGGGTCTTTCTATTGCAACAAATGAATGGATGATGCTGCTGCTTCCAGAGGGATGCAATGTTTTAAGGTTGCTATCAAGGACATGGTGTTAGACTTTTTTTGGCCTTTTATTGTTTTTGTTTTAACTTGAATGTTTTCACATCTTTAGATGAGCCAAACATCTAACACCTTACCAGGTCTACTTCATATAAAATTTAGGTGAGTGAAGAGAAAAAGTATATAAAAAAAAAAAAAAAAAAAAAACCTTTGTTACAATTTGTCACACAAGAATCACTAATGGCATATTATTCTAAACTGAAACTAAATGTTGCACGGTATTCCAATTCTTGAGAAAAATAACTTAAAATGTTTACTTTCTGCAGAAGCCCCTGATTTCACACATGTATAATTTAATCTCATTATACAGTACATACAGCAGTTATGTGAACCCCTCAGAAGTTAGATTGAGAACATCAATGAATAAACAATATCAAAGATTATTTATTTATTTTCCTTTCATCCCAAAATGGGAAGACTATGGTACAAAAGACCAATCAAGACATGGAAATCAACTAAGGCATTAATCAACCAGAAGAGCATTAATGGAATTGGAGAATCTAACCATTATGCTCGTAAACTACTGCATGTTTTATTGCATAATGACTTAAAAATCAACTAAAAGCTAATATTTTGGCATTTAATTTTACCTTATGTATATAATCAGGCAAATACAACTAGAAAATGTGCAAAGTCTAAGCATATGTAATAAGAAGACACATGCTTTAACCAGACAAGGTAGTATAATTTAATAATAAATACAAGGATTGAGAAGCTAAAAAATCTGTTCAAAGATGTTGCAGGATTAATGATGGAGTGAATACATATAGAGGGTTCATCCTACATTTACAAGAGCCATTTTTCTCACCATGTATATCATGTTCATTTTGTTAGTTTTTTTCTGCCTTTGTGTGTGTACTTTTGGTTCTGTTTGCCCTCATATATTTTGAGCCATTTGAATGACACGTGTCTCTCTGTCCGTGTTTACAGGATATGCGAGAAGTTCGCTGAAAGATGGCAACAGTGAATAAGTAGCCATAATGAGATTTTAAAACCAATTAGGATAGAAGAGGATAAGAGAACAGCAAGAAGAGGACAACTGAGACAAAAGAAAACAGGAACCGCAGATGACAAAGGAGAGGAAGCTGGCAAATCAGAGGAGAAGAAACTGAAAAGAGATGATGGGATACGGAAAGCCATCAGGAATCACTGGTCAGGTGGTGCTCCTATTTGAATACAATCCATTTTTCTTGTCAAGGGCACTCTACTTCTTTTGTCGTTTCCTTTTTGTCCATTTTCCATTTTGACCCCTTTTGTTTATCTTCTCTCTTCTCTTTCCACTCACTCACTTCATTATTCAGTCAAGCTTTCCTTCTCCTGCAGCTGTGTCACATTAGCTAACCTTCACAGGTCTTTAATCCTTCACTATTGCTTCTCTGCTCTCCTTTTGTTGTTCTCTCATCCCCCTCTCTCCTTCTGTCTCTTCTTGTCATCATTTCTGCCACAATACTGTATTGACACAGCTGTCTGCTTCATCAAGATTTCCATTTTATGAGTAATAAGGTCTCATTTGACCAAATAAATCCTCTGCTTATATTTGAGCTGCACCACTGTTGACCCTAAATTATCACTTCAATCACTTGCAAATGATGAATGCTCCTTCTGCCGCAGTTAAAAGCGAGGCTATATTGAAGCCTTGAACTCTTTTGCAGTTGCACCGTTTGAGGTCACTGTGAAATATTTTGTTTCGTTCTTTTTTATCTCTGGCTTTAAACACCAATAACTAGTGAATCGGAGCAAATTCAATCAATGGGAAGGTGAAATGGATGCACAAATGATGGATCAGGATAACCACTAAGATTTGTTTGTGCTCATGAGCTCAATGTCCATGAATTAAAATTTCTATAAAATGAAGTGAACCTATATCGACTAAAAACCCTAAATCCTGTTTCTCCTCACTTCTGCAATGTAATCAAACAGCTACAAAGTTAGAGGTATGGATTCATCATTCACATTCCACATGTGCCAATAACACCAATTTTAACCTGTTGCTCCAGCAAGTGTTTTTGCTGAACACAACGCCAAAATGACAAAATTGTTCCTGCAAGCACTGGTTCATTTTCACTAGTAACAGTGCATGAATTAAGATGAATGTGGTTCAATAATAAAAATTTAAAGCAAACAAAAACTTACTATGTTTTCTGCTTTCACTTTCCCCGTAGCAAACCCGTGGAGGAAAAGTCTTTTCTCATTTTGAAACATCTGCAAAGGATTTGCAGTCCTGCTGAAACCAGATCAGATATGATTTTAGGCTTCAGTAACATGCAACAAAACACTAGTATTTCAATCCCAGACTGCATTCTTAACCTACAAAGGGAAACTGACAGTGAAGAGTAGTCAAATACGCCATTAAACTTGGGGGTGGCTCAGGAGACGGGGGTTTGTTTCCTGTAACTGGTAGTTTGCCAGTTCGAACCCCCCACTTTGTCCATGTTACATCTCCTTCAAGGTACACAACCTCCTTCAAGACATCATTAACACATTTCAGTGCAAGTAATAATGTGCTTCAAAGCTTTTAGGTTGTTCATGTGCAACAATGACCAAATAAATTTGACCATTTGACCAAATAATGGTCAATTCATTTAGCTGGATCTAGCAGCTAAATATGCTAGCAAAGATAATATGAAGGCAATCCTTTAAGTCTTCCTATAAATATTTTAAAGATGAATTTACATGATTCCTTTTAAGGAGTAAATGTTTATGCTTCCATTTGTTCTCATCTGTATATTCTCTGCAAGGGTCAGTTTATTTGTAAAATTCTGCTATGATATTTGAATACATAATTCACTCAAAGCGTTGTTGATTACAGGACTACGGTGGAAAACATCAGTCAGCTGGTTTTACCGCTGTATGCGCTGTACCGTGGCTGCTGGAAAAAACAAGTGTTTTGTTGTTGACTTGCCATTTAGAAACCACATGCTGCATCTTTGATGGTTGTGCAGGAGGCTCCACTACTGCTTCAGACTCAGGGTTAAAGATATACAGTTGTAGAATTGCACATCTACTTGCAGCTATTTTTACAAGTATAAAGTGAGTGTAAAGTTGAGTTGGGGTGAGAACTGAGCAAGTGAAATCTCTGAGAATTTTGCGGGGGAAAAAAAAGAAGAAAAAGATAAGGAGCATGTTTTGTGTATTCCATAGACCAGTGTTTCTCAATTTTGGTCTTCAGGAACCACTGCCTTGCATATTTTAGATGTGTCTCTGTTTCAGAACATGTGATTTAAATGATTTCATGGCCTCTTCTGCATGCCATCAAGAGTTACAGAAGCCTGCTAATCAGGCTGTCCAGAAAAATGCCCAGAAAAGCGCTACAAAAGTCTGATGTCTTTTCATTTAATTTCTCTGGAACTGAGATGGTTCTTACACATAGACAATGTGCAGATGATGGTCCAGGAGACTCTGTAGAACCTTCCACAAGGGCTGCTGGCCATCTTCTATTCTGACATCGTTTAGACAGGTTTGTGTTTGTCCATCACCTTGTCCAACTACTAAACAGGACAGGTCTAAACTACAACAGAGAAATGAGGTCTGCAGAGAGAATCAACAAGTCTGACCTTCCCTTTATTCAGGACTTGTAAAGGTTTAGAGTCAGGAAAAGGGGCAGCTATGACTTCTGAAGATCACACACATCCTGGACACAACCTGTTTGCAAATTTTACCATCAGGTCGGTGCTACAAAGCGGTATTTGCAAAAATTAGACTCCACAGAGACGGTTCCTTCTCATTGATGAGCACTTGACAGTGGGAAATCCCACATCGATACAATGCATATTTTCACAAATTCAACCTTGTTTTCTTTTTCAAAAATATACGTATTCATAAAACCTTTTTTGCTTTCCCTTTCACAAATTTATTTTGACGATGTCTTTATTGAGAGCAATGTTAACTCAGCTGAACTCAAATTCCTTGTTTGTGTGCACACTCGGTTGATAAAGCTCATTCTGAGTCTGAAATTATACATAGTTTAAAAATACTGATGCAATGTCTTCAAAAACATAGCAAATGATAGCAAATGTCAAAGTAAAATAATGGTGGGTACAATATGTTCCTGCATTTAAACAAAAAACAAAGTTAGAGAACACATTGTTTTTGTACATTAATTTGGATCTAAACCACCGAGTCAGAAAAGACGGTATTGTTCCTGACCTGCACATCTCAAAGAGGGATCTGTTCTAATCAGACAGGCAGTAATATCTCTTTTATCTTGTCTTTGATGTCCCCCTTCCCAGTCACTGTAATCTAACTGTTGTATTTCATCATGGCAAGGATAGATTTGTCTGTATTTGTTGAATAATTGTTATTCTAACTTTGCACAAAGATTTCATGGAAAATGAATAGTCAACTCAGAATCTGCAATGACATGAAAAACTGAAACGCAAACAAGGAGAAAGCTTAAACAAATCTTATCGACATGTGGTGTGTAACTAGGCCTGTCACGATAAACAATAAATCAATTAATCGCAGATAAATTAAACCTATCGACCTCATTTTAATTATCGGCTTTATCATCTCTTCCTGCCCTTTTTTCTTCCTATTGATGACACTAAATGAAAAAAGGCTCAGCTCCGGTGCTCTCCACTGCCACTCCCTTCCTGTAATGTCCAGCGCACACTACATGAGTTGTCGGTCCATTTTCAAAACCTGAGAGACACATTAGCCGACAGAAATCCTAGGTATAACGGTTCAATCGGGTTTGTCGTGCTGTGTGGTGTCCAGCCACATGGGCGCAAAATAATGGCTACAAATCCAGTTAACTAATTTTAAAACCAGGCATTAGTCAATGCTTTACTACAATCTACCTGTGATGCATGTGGCTAGAGTCAGCGTAAAGTCCTGACTGAATGAAAATCATTATAACCTATTTATGTCACGTTAACGAAGAACAGCTGAAAACTTACCGGGTTTATCAACTGCGGTAACAATTTGGCTCCAACTCCTCTCCTTTTCATTTCTATATTCTTTGCACGAAATGTTGAATAAATATTAATGTTTCCACATATCATCTCTGATGTCCGCTGGACTTCGTGTCGCGCCGTGTCAGCTGTTTGAGATTCCCCTCCGTAATTTCCCCTCAGAAAGCGCGAAGGAGAATCGGTGCTTTCTGATTGGCTACCTGCCACATTCAGCGTTAAGCTCCCCGTCGGGGAAAACCCCTGATTTA